GTCAGGGAATGTAGGCACCACGCTGTGCTGACTGTTTGATAACAATTCTTAAAAATGCGCCCGCCTCGCCCATCCGTAAACCAGAGAGAACAGAAGGCTCAGTGCACATTTTGGTGCTGAGGGCTGGCTGGGCATCTACTGTGGTAACAGCTTTTCTAAAGAACCCTGGAAGGTTGACAAGGAAAATGTGGGATCTAAATAAGGGTCTGAAGAACTTGGGACCTCCAGCAACTATGAAAGGATTAAGTATCTTTTTAAACCACCAAGTGTGCAGTAATCAAATAGTCACAGAAAACCAATGTCCTGAGGATATTTCCCATTTTCCTTGTTTTTCTGTTCACTTCCTGTTTTCTGTCTGTTACATGTACAATGGGTGATTACTATCAACTCCTCATGTTGGCCCACTGTTGTTGTTGTTGTAAGGTGCTAGTGAGTTGAGTACAACTCAAAGCAACACTATGAACAACAGATCTGAACCATGTCCTATCCTGTGCCAGACTCACAATCTCTGATGCATGAGCGCCCATAGCTGCAGTCACTTTGTCAATCCACCTGATTGAGGGTCTTCTCTCTTTCTCCATCCCTCACCTTCCCAAGCTTACTGTCCCTCCCCAGTGAAAAGCCTTTCCTAGAAACACACCCAACACATGGGGGACGAAGCTTCACCATCCTTGCCTCCAAGGAGCACTCTGGCTGCACCTTCTCCAGGATGTGTCTTTTTGTTCTTTTGGCAGTCCATGGGATAGTCGGTACTCTTCTCCAACACCACAGCTCAAAGGTAGTTCTTCTGTCATCCTTATTGACTGTCCGGCTCTCAGCAGCACAGCAAGTGATCAAAAAGCCCATGGCCACCTTGGGCTGTTTCCATGTTCTTGCAATGGTGACTAATGCTGCTATGAACATTGGTGTAAAAGTTTCCATTTGAGCCTCACTTCTCATTTTCTTGGGGCATATTGAAGCAACTGAATAGCTGGGTCATAGGGAATTTCTTTGTTCAGCTTTTTTGAGGAAGCATCAAAGTGCTTTCCAGAGTGGTTGCACCATTGTACAATCCCACCAACAATGTAAAAGAGTTCCTATCACACCACATCCTCTCCAACATTTATTACTTGCTGTCCTGTTAAACTTTGCCACTGCTACTGGAGCGAGATGGTATCTCACTCTGGTTCTGATTTGTATCTTTATTATTGCCAGTGATTTGGAAGTGGTGGTACATTCACACAATGGAATACTACATAGCATGCAGGAGTAATGATTTTGTAAATTATTACCTAACTTGGGAGGGACTGGAGAGCATTATGCTGAGGGAACTAACTCAGTCCAGAAAGGACAAATACTGTATAAAACCATTACTGTAGAATGAGTATGAAGATCCAAGGTGGGGGGGAGGGTGGAAATAGAGGGGCAAGGATGGGGGGGTAGGGTGTTAATCATAGGGTTTCACAATTTGATGGGTGGGTGGGGTGAAGGAAATGGGAAGGATCTTTTATGAAAAACAATGTATTCAAATTTTGTAAGAAATCAGAGTTAAAAAAAAAAAAAGCCCATGGCCGAAATAAAGCATACCTTAGTTCTAAAACTTACATTATCGCTCTTCAGTAATTTGGAGAGGTCCTTGATTGAAGATTTTTTCCAGTGTGATACATCACCAGACTGCTGGTACCAAGTGTATTGATTGTGGATATAAGTAAGATGAAGTCATTGGCAGTTTCAATCTTTTCTCCACCTATCATGATGTTGCCTATAGGTCCAGTGGTAAGAATTTCTGTTTTCTTGATGTTGAGATGCAATCTATATTGAAGGCTGTATATATAGGGAACTCTAGTGGCCTAGTGGTAAAAAGCTGTGCTGCAATCCTGAAGGCACACGGTTCGAATCCACCAGTGGCTTCATGGGGCGGGGGAAAGGATGGTCAATCTTCTGTGAGATTAACTGCCTCTGAAAACCCAGCTGGAGGGCCAGCTATTGGTTGGTTTCAACTTGACAGCACACAATAATAGTCTTTGATCCTCTGCAGCAAGCACTTCAAGCTCTCCTCACTTTCAGCAAGCAAGGTTATAACACCTCCATAATGAAGGTTATTGGTGAACCTTCCTCTAACCCTAGTGCCACGTTCTTCTTCCCAGAGTCTAGCTTCTTGAATAATTTTCTCAGCATACAGGTATGGAGATGTTAGTGCATAGATCATTGTTATTAATAACAAGATGGGATTATGATGGAATTGGAGGGGGAGTAGACCGTACAGAGACTTGGAATGCAAGGATTGACAAAGCACTGAGGTAGTGTCCTTTGGAAGAGGTAAGTCCAACTTCTGGTTGTGTGAGGGGTATCTTTATCTGAGCAGAAATACTTTCTCAATTTTAAATTGTAAGGAGGGGAATTATGATGTATGTAGATGTTGAACAGCAAAAGGATGAGACTAAAATAAACTCATTATTTCTCTATCTTCTTTTGCATCTCCAGCATCTGAATTTCTTCCTCCACTTGGAAGAAATGTCCACTTCTTCCTCCACTTGGAAAATGTCCACTCTTCTGTCTGTTTTGGGAAGGGGGAAGATGAGCTGCTTTATGGGCACAGAGCGTATTGGCCTTCCTAGAACTTTAAATGTGGAGGCCGCACAAAGATTTAAAGTCAGCTCAGATTCCCTTTCGTGGTGGCAGTAGGACCAAGAGGCAGCCCTGCAAGTGGTGGTGTTGGTTTCTAGTGACCATGGTGTCTGGTGGGGTCATCAGTCATAGACCGAGGACTCAAACTTCCTTCGATCCAACCCATTTTCCAACTTAATGCTCCCAGAGATCCTCTGGGCTCCCTTGCAGGCTCCATTAAATCTCCTTCCTGTTGAAGCAAGCTGGAACTGGATGCTGTTCTTTGCATAAAAAAAATCGAGAGCCTTTTTCATCTGAGCTCTTCCCTTTGCTGTTACTGATGACGGCCTGGGACCCCGTTAGTCCTGACTTGTGTTAGCTCTTGTATTATCATCCCTGTACTGCAGTGGCCGCGAGAAGAACTCAACAGAGCCCACGCTGTTCACAACAATACCCCTTTTATTGATATTAATCACAGTTTAAGGTCTTGTTCATCAAAAAAGAACAATGTGCATTAAGTATAACTACAAACAGAGACATTAAAAAATAAAATGTACATACACACGCGCACACACCATCCACCAAAGCAGTTAATCTCAAGCAATCAACACTCTGAATGTGTCTTCAATTTTGATCACCAGTGCTTGGAAGAACGTACAGAGATCCGGGCCCAGGTCGTTGGCCCCTGGGGTCTTAGCATGTGTACAGGACAGAAGAGTTACCCTTGGAAGCAACTGAGTATGTAAACGTGGAGGGCAGACGTTGGTGAAACAGGGCCTAGATACCGGTACCTAGCAGCTGCTTCGCAGCAGAGTCCACCCAAGGCCCCATGTCTCCTCACATCCCTGAAGAAGGCAGATCTTGTTGTGTTGAAAGCAGACAGAAGCTATGTGTATGGAAGAGCAAGTCGGGACTCATCTAGTTCAACCCATTCTTGAGGGACATTTTAGAATGATTGACTAAGATGTACTTTTCAAAGGAAATGGGGAAAAAATCTCTCTTCTTTCCCTACCTCTTCCTCTTTCCCATCCTAAGCTTTCCGGCCAAACTCTAGCAAAGCCTACTGCAGCCTAAAAAACGTTCTGGATCAGGTTACAAGTTACCCCATGGTCAAAAGAGAATGACCCATGGCAAATATCAAATGTCATTCATTAAAGTGGCTTTCTTTGGGGTAGAGTAAGAAGTCTGAGTAGATTACTGGCGTTTCCAAGCCACTTGTAGAAATTAAGGTGATAAACTTGTTAAAATAAAGACCTAGAGGATTTAGACACTATAAACATCACATTGCTCTAGGAATCTACTTTCTCACCCAGAGAGAGCTGAGGTCAGAGAGCTAAGCTACTTCATCTTCTTTTCACAGGCCTTACTTGTCCTGTGTGTTATTTATTCCAATTTCTTGAACTTGAATAATACAAATTTTGAGAGGAGAATGAGAGAAGCTGAGGAGTAGGGGAGGGAAGAGAGAGAGAGAAAGCTAGAGAGACACTAGCTAATGTCATTCTCTGCCTGTGCCCCTCTGGGGAAGAAGAGGGAATGACATCATTTCGTTGGGTTGACCCCGCCTTGGGAAGCGTTTTTGCTACATCCATGGTGCTCCAGTACTGGTTTAGCAGAGGATCGGCAGTGATGGGTCAAAAGAGACAGAGTAGAGGCATCCTGGCCATTCTTCTCCGATCAGTTCAGCAAAAGGAGGGAAGGAGATATGCCTTGGTGGGAGCCTGCATGGAGTTGCTTTTGAATCTAGCTGGGGGGGAGCGGCTGAACTTGTGGAAGCAGGGATTTCCTTGATCTGTCTGCCTTGGATAATGTCACTGAAGATGAAGCCTGCTCAGTACCTGTCTTTGTTCTCTGGAGCTGCTAGAACAAAGGTTCATTCTGTCACACGCAGGAGGCTGAGTTCTCTGTCGGCTCTGAAGGAGGGTCCCCGCCTCAGCTGCTTCTTCCTAGTTCCCTGCAGTCCTGAACGTCTTGGCATCTCTCTCTATCTGCTCACATGCTTAATCTTTTTTTCCCATCTCAAGAGATTGACTCAAGACACACCCCACACGGACCCTGCCTCCGTCACAAAGACAACCCAGTCCCTGATGGAACTATGATCATAGGCACAGAGGTGAGGATTTCAAACACCTATGTTTGGAGTGGAGAGGAGGACATAATTCAATCCAAAAACAGGGGCCCAAACAAACACCTGCCATTCCATGACACTCTGGAATCCCAAATAAAACCAGTCTCCCACAAGAGAAAAAGAGGGAAAGGTCAAGGTCATTATTGTAACCAGAGCCAATCAGGATAATGAGAGGAGGAGGAGGAGGAGGAAGGAAGACAGGAAGAAGCCTCTAAAGAGGCTGTGGTTCCATGAAGCCAATGGCTGCCGTCCCAAGTGCTGCCTTTTCTGGGGTTTGAGCATCTCCGCACTAACCCAGGCCGACGTCCAAAGACATCATCACCACAAATCCCAGGATGGAGGCCCAGGACGCCAGCTTCCCATTGCCGCTGAGAGGGGAAGAAAGAGGAAGGTGAGTTAAGATCGCAAAGTAATGAGACTGTATCTAGATCTCGGAGCGGGCGTGACAATGTCTGATTCCAACTACAGAGAATGTTGTTGTTGTTGTTATTGTTGTTATGTGCCATCGAGTCACTTGTACTCATAGCGACCCTATGTACAAGAGCTCTAAATGCTATTCTATCCTGTGCCAACCTCGCTATCTTAAATGCACTCATTCCCACCATTCCAGTCACAGAATCGATCCATCTCATCAAGGGTCTTCCTCTCCTGCGCCGGCCCTCCACTCTACCAAACATGATGTCCCTTTCCAAGGACCAGTCCCTCCTTGCAACATGCCCAAAGTATGTCAGACAAAGCTTCAGAATCCTTGACTCCAGGGAACACTCTGGCTTCACCCTCTCCAGGACAAACGTGTTTGTTTTCCTAGCAGTCCATGGTATATTCAACACTCTACTCCAGCACCACAGCTCAAATACTGCGATGAATAACTAACACTGACAACTGACACTAACTGGGCTTACTAAACGCTACCGAGCCCTGGTGACGAGTAGTTGGTGTAAAGAGACATATACAAATGGAGCTGGCTAACTTCACAGGACACTTCTTCCTCTGCTCCAGCTCCAGAGGCGGAGAGAGAAAAGGAGAGACAGACAGATGGAGAGACAATTCTGAGACTACGTGAAAAAGATACTTGTTTGGAGAGTCTCTGAGCTGAACAAAGGATTAACACGCTCAACTGAGAATAGAAAGGTTGGGGCTTCAAGCCCACTCAGAAACATTTTAAAATATTTTCTTTTTATTATATATTATATT